GGTTATAGTATGGAAGGTCCTTCAAATTCTCACTCTCTCTCCAGCCCTCATTATCTAGCTTCTCTTCTCACCCATCCTCGGCCTTATTCACTCATTCAAAATGCTGAAGGGGGGAAGGGAAACCCGAGATGGGATGCGGGAGGTGATGGTGTAGAGAGGAAGGCCCAGTTCGGGCCCAAATTGGCGGGGTGGATAGCCCGGCTGACACAACAACAGAAGGTCTGCATATTAAAACGCACAACATCTGTAAGTTTGGGATGGAATTGTCACAAATACCCTTCCGTGAAACGCTCTCCTGCCACCAAATTCAAAATACTGAAAAATTAAACCTTGTTTTGCCTTTATATAGTTTGTAGATAGATAGATAGATGTAGACTCGTTTTTAAACAAAAAACAGGGAGGGAAAATGGGCCAATGGGGGATGGTTAGTTGGTCCCTATGTAAACAATGGGAGTTTCTTTAATCAATTTAATTTCCTCTAGTTTAACACGTTGTAAACAATGAGAATACCAAGATCTGTTGAAAACGTTGTATGTCGTAAATTAATCTTGTATTACTAACCACGTTGTGTTAGAATTAAGCGTTGAAATGTTGCATTTTACAATTGTTGAATACGTAAACACCCTATGGGCAGTGGCTGAGCCACCTCTTGAGGAGAGGGGTCATAGGACTCAGTTGGGAAAAAACAGGGCAACAAAATTCTTCAGATATGTAAGGTTTAATATGATCCTTTGAATTTAGGACCTCATACTTTCGTTCATGTTAGCTCATCTAAGGACACCAATTAACTCAAACTTCATTAGATAAACGGAATTTTGCATTTTGAAAATAAAAAGGAGCCCAGTCAATTTAATGTATGGCTACCACACTCCCTACGACATACAACTCTACCAATGTTAGTATGACAACAACCATAAAACACAATGCTTGCTTTCGTACACGATAATTCAATTCTATTCAACAACTTATTTGGGCGACAAATGATCCCCAATTCGCATTACACTACATATCTAGGATCCCAAACCAGCCTTCTTGAAATTTGAGCTAACCTTGCTTCGAGTAGGAAGACATATCCATTGCATTGATTTTCATATTATCAACCCTCTTGCCTAAACTACCTTGGATATGTTTCTAAGTTCTATTTATTTGAACTTGGTTAAGTGTTAATTTGTGTTCTTTTCATTTATGAAATACCATTTGTTGCCTTTGTGAATTATCCATTTCTGTTTTTTGATTTGTGTTAAATTGGTTTGGCAATTGGCAGTCTCACTACATTATCTCATATAATGAATGGAAGAGATTTGGGACTAGAATACATTAATAGTAGCACTGTTATGTAATTCTTACGTTGTAATAATTCAATGGAATTAAATAAATACTTTTGTAATAATAATAGAGGGAAAAATGAAAAAGGACTAATTTGTTCAAAGTGCCATAACTAAATTAAATTCATATTTTACATCAAGTACCACCTCAAAAGGATAATAAACTTACAAAAGATAGTTGCGTTCACATATCCATTACGCTTACATATCCAAATAAAATCACATACCCTATAAAACATATTAATGAAATTCCAACATTTTATCCCTGATTTTAAACGTACCCTAAAGACAAACCAAGTTATGTAGCCAGCCTTAATTGACAAATGTGTGGCATTTTCTAAATCAATATAGTGTAACAAGCATTAAGAACACAACTACATTAAGAACACAAATACCAATTGCTTCTACACAACATTTAGGATGACAATTACGTTTACAGAAACCTTTTGCTTCTCATACCAATGTCGATTAACTTCCTACCATATAATAACGTGATGCAACATAAGAATAACCAATATTAGGTTCAGTACGACAATCACTATCAATAAAGCTCGAATTACATGGATTTCATGATTAACTCTCCTTCCTTCAGCTAGCATAATTTCATGTGCCTTCATCCATCTTGATAGCTCTTCAGCCAAAAGTTTCTTCTCCTTCTTCCTCCTTTCCGCCTTACACTCAGCTAGCCTCAAACTTTCTTCAATATTCAAAGTCGAACACCCAATTTCAGAGTCATGGTGCTTATCTTCATCGACATTCATTCGCACCCACCTAAAAAAACGACAGTTCTTCTTCTCGTCCTGCACCATACGAGCATTTAACTTAGAACCCACATCAATGACAATTTCAAAACCCATATCTAAACACCTTACCATCCAAAATGGACACCCATAGAACTGTCTTCCTGGGTTCGCTTCGGTTCCAGATGTATTCACCACACATGGCTTCTTGTGCCAACAGAGTACCGCCCCTCGGCTATTGATGCTAGTCGAAGTTGAGGAAGATGCTCGCTTGGACATGGCTGACCTTCGCGTGAAGTTCCGGCCAGGAGAAATCGCGATTTCGGGGTCGCGAATCGGCCGAGCAGAAGTGGGATTTGGGGAAGAAGGAAGAAGCGCCGAGTCGTTCAGAAACTAGAAGAAGATTTGGGGAAGAGGAGTAAGCATCGATCAGCTTCGTGTATCTCCTTCGTGGGGAAGAGGAAATTTGGGAAGAACCCTAATTTCGTTTTCTAGAAAGAGATGGAGAAGAAGGAAGCCCTAATTTCGTTTTCTGGAAATAGATGGGGATTTTTGGTAGCCTCGTGCGATCAGGTAGATGGGGAAAGTTTTAAATTTTTTTAATAATAAATAAATTATTAAGATGACGTGTCAATTTTTGCTTTGTTGTCGCTGACGTGGTTGATGATTTGGCGCCTCTTCAGCGAACCGTCAAATAAGTTGACGGAGTTATTAACGCCGTCATAATTTCTAACGAAAATGGCTATATCTGCCACGCAACATTAGGGGTGAACAAACATACCCGCAAACCGACCCACCCGTCCAAACCGACCCAACCCACCCGTATTTATCGCTAAAACAAAGATTTTGGGTTGGGTGAGGGTTTTGTTTTGTACAACCCGCCTCTTTTGGGTTGGGTTTGGATTTTGGATTACACAACCCGTAGAACCCGACCCAACCCGGGTTTAGGGTTTTAGAGTTTAGTGGTTTAGGGTTTAGGGTTTAGGGTTCAGGGTTTAGGGTTTAGGGTTTAGGGTTTTAGGGTTTAGGTTTGATTTTTTCCAAACCGTAGTGCATGGGTTGGGTGATAAAATGGCTAAACCCGGACCACCCGACCCATGTACACCCCTACGCAACATCTTTCAAAAGTGGCTATTAGTGGTATTTCGCCAAATGTGGCTATAAGTGGCACAAAGGTGGAAGTTTTGGCTATGCAAGTGTATTTTGCCTATAATTTATAATGACCGTTAGATTAGATCTACGGTAGAGAATCATACACGTATTCATTCCATAGCCTAACTCCGATTTAAAACTAGATCGTCTAACTGAAGCATGCCCTCACTATCAAATTGTATCGATTAAGATTTGCTATTGCTAATCTCAATAATCCAAATTGTACCAAATAAGATTTGCTATTGCTAATCTTATTCAGTTATGATAACCAATACATTTCCCAAACACTACAAATAGGTTTTAGTTAGAAGGCCATTAAAGATTTGCTATTGCAAACCTTAAATTGAAACTAATTAACATTTTATTAACAATGTTTTAACCAGGACAAAAACTGGTGTCTACAAGTAGTATGGAAGGTTTATTGTCCAAATGCATGGTATGCACATGTAGATAGCTTTTTTATATAATATAGTCACGGTAAAGCCATTGACTTCTATACAAAAATTGTCGTCGTCTTCATTTATTTTGCTTTACTTCCTTAATTATTTTTGTTGTTATGTTTAATTGTTACAACATATGTATAGAAAACGTGTACACTTAAACTATCAAAATACCTTTACAGCATTGATGGTTAAGATTTGCTATTATCATCGCAAGGTTGCCTGTTCGATTATCCATATTGTCTTATTTGTTTTACCCACATCCATGTACTCATGTTTCAGCTACGCTTGTGGAACGACGTCGTCCTGGGGACACTCTCGCTTTAGCAGCAAGCACAAACGACGACGTTTGTCATGTCTCATCGTCTTCCCTGGGCAGTAATTGGAGATAACCATGGTTTTGATGGTTGTTGGGTTTTGATGGCTGTTGGTGAGATAAATGGTTAGCTATGGGGTAGCTTGGGTGAACAGATAATGGCATTTTGGATAGTCGAATTGGGGTGTGGTATGTTGATGATACAGTAATTTGAACCAAATTAACCTGAATTTTTTTCGTTACTTTTCATTAGGCAACTGATCCCGTTTATAAGTAATTGAGAAGTGTTTCGATAAGTCTAGAAAGATACAACCAACAATTCATTAAGAAGGGCAGAACCCGTACAAAAAAGCATTGTGTTCACACATTAATAAACTTTCATAACAAGAGAAATAATATTAAGACGAACACTAAGCAACTTTAGTAGATTCTATTTACATTGCTGAAATGGCATTCAGTTTCCAGGAGGAAAAAATAATTTTACCAATAACAGCTCAAAATAACTCGACACATTGTTCCAAGGACCCAATGCGATCATAAATTCATAAGAGTTTCCACCAAGCAAGTTGATAAGGGTAACGAAATCGGCATTGGCCATATCTTTATCACTTACTACATCTGAAACGATTTTGCGCAAGTTTGTCGATGGGAAAACAACCTCAAGATCCAAATAATCATCCTCGATAGTTAGGTGGATCAAATGAACTCTACATTCAGCACACCAGGATGTCTTCACCTCCCCGACACGTCCGGAGATGAGGTAAGCAGTGCCCTGGTATTTAAAACAAGAAAAAGGAATTAAAAAAAAATAACAAGCATTAACAAACACAATAACTGCAAACGCGATCGAGAAGGATGAATGACAAAAACCTCATCGTCACCATTCTCTTGCACCAATGTAAGCTCGATTGAATCCGACAAACTAGACATAGATACTGCTTCCTCATACTTCAGTTTTTCAACGAAACCAGGCTCAACCAGAAAGTCGCTATAAATAAAACTGTTAGTAATGGCTGACAAAAGGAATAGGAAGCGGAGTAGACTGTCGTAACGATTAGTTGGTAAACAATACTTACGGGTACCATTGCGATATATAATCCATTGTCAGAAAATTACAGCACGGAAACCCTACTCAATTTCTGTTCTTGCACGTACTGTGGATGTTCAACATGAGTATAAGAGCACATTATGATCAACTATTCTAATAGAACGTACCAAATAGTTAACAATCAATTAAAGAAAATTACCTGCGGCGGTGGAAACGTGGCCGGCGACACCGCGTGGTTAGTCGAGCAGATCGGGAACGAATCAGCGACGGAGGTTGCAAGCGACGATGGTGGCCCGCTCTTCTTCCCACAACCGACGTGGTTAGTCCTTCCTGACGACTTTCCTCCGCTCTTCTTCCCACAAACGCTAGAGCGAATCAGAGGCGGAGATGGTGGCCCGGAGGAGGAGACCGCTACTGAGCGACCAGCGGTTGCTTGAAGGGCGGAGGCGGAGACATGCAAGGGAGGCGGAGGGAGGATGAGGGCGGTTGAGTCTGTGTCTGATCAGTTTGAAGGAAAACCGAGAAGGCAGCGCATGGGGAGGGGAGAAAAAGCGGAAGATAAATCGTTTGGTAGATTTGGTAGGTAAAGTAGTCTTCCAATTTTCAACTTTGCCATTATTGTTCTCTGTTTTTTTCTTTACAATTGATTATTGTTAAAGAGACAAAGGGAGGGCAGGGGCAGCCGCCGATCTGCTCGACTAAGCCCTATTGGGCCTGGTACAAAAGGCCTGCTTAGTTTAGTTTTGTGTTTTAATTTTACAAGAACTCATTCTATATTATAAATAAAACAGTGGAAGTCTATTGAATCAAAATACTTGTTCAGCATGAATGGTGAAGAATGCTTCGTGTAATGAACAGGACGCCGGTTCGACCCTCATATCATTACAAAAATTTTTTGTTTTCAGCTACACCTATAGAACGACGCCGTTCTCCAGGCCACTTTCGATTCAGATACGAGCACAAAACGATGCCGTTTTTTCAGATATCGTCGTCTTCCCTAGCCCCCCAAATTCCCAATTATCCAGTTGCCGCCGTCGCCACCGTAATCCGACGGCCGTCTCTCTTCATCGTCCAAACTTTGTCACTCCGTTACGATTCTGGACTCCGACCAAGAGAATTCCCTTGACGAGACCCAATCCCCTATCTCCATTTCAGCCTTACTCATTGTTTACAGGACGTAAAAGTCATAGTCTTTCACCGTCAATTTATTCAGATTCGGCGCGAAAGGGTAGCTGTCATCTGCGACCTTACAAAAAGATGAGCCAAAGTCGATGTAGGTCAGAAGCAGGACGATGATGATGATGGTAAAATTAGGGGTTTGCAATTGGGGTATCTAGAAAAATCGTAATGACGATGATGGTGGTTTAGGATTGTCGAATTGGGGCAACCTCTTAATGGAACTTTATTTTATCAATTCTATAATTTTTGGGTGTTCATTAAAAGATCTAGAAGAAATAAGGTATCATCTGAGTTCTCACAAAAATGAATAGGTATCATGTGAGAAAATAAAACGCAAATTATTATTGGGGGGCTACATAGCACATATAATTATTTAAGGGGTGCAAGTAGTAATTATTATTACTAATTTTAATATAATTTATAATGACCGTTAGATTAGATCTACGGTAGAGAATCCTGTCACATAGTATGTGTCTGACGCATACGAGTCGTTTCCATATATATATATATATATATATGTAATTGTTTATGGGCTAATAAATAAATTAACCATTAGTTACAACAATTTATACTAAACTTGATAAGTAATCTTTGACGGTTCGTTGTTTAGGATATAAAGTATATGGTTAGGGTATAGGGTATAAGGTACATATGGTTTAGGGTGTATATGGTTAGGGTATAAGGTATGTGGTTAGGGTACAAGGTATATAGTGTAAAGTATAGAGTATATGGTTAGGGTATAGGGTATAAGGTACATATGGTTTAGGGTGTATATGGTTAGGGTATAAGGTATGTGGTTAGGGTACAAGGTATATAGTGTAAAGTATAGAGTATATGGTTAGGGTATAACAATTAGCAAATATCACTTTTTATCTATGTTTTGAAAATCAAAGTATGAATTTCACTTTTAAATTAACTATACTAGCAAAATCACAACTCAAAGACATATGGTTAGGGTATAGGGTATAGGCTATGTGGTTAGTGTATAATGTATTGATGGTTTAGGGTATACAATCAACAACATATACTAACTTAATATTGTTGGTTGAGGGTAAGGCTAAGTGCATAGGATATATGCTATTGAGTAAGTTATGATTGAAGTCACAATAATTTTACTAAATTTGATAGCTAATCTTTAATGGTTCAATTTTTAGGATAATTCGAACAATTTTACAAATAACTCGTTTGGCAACAGTTTACTGAAGTTATTTGGGCAGTGAGTTATTTCGAAATAACTCCTTTTATCACTATGCTTTTGCCAAATACCACACGCCAAATACCAGATTTGCATGGTTATACTAAACGAGATACTTTAATCCAATTACTACTGAATTAATACTAAAATATCAAATAAACAATTAATGGTGTCTTTTGGTTGCAAATATTGATATCACCATTACTATTAGCTATAATACTTTACCAATTATGATTAATTACATAACAAGTTTGCAAGTAATACAAATTGATTTAACATTTTGACTAGTTTTTTTCAAAAAAATAAAGTATATATATACGAGGTAGAAATAAATTGGTTAAAAAGTTGAGGAAATATTTTAAATTAGTGTAATAAAAAATGTAAGTTGGTAATGAGTAATGAGTTAAGTTACTGGATGCGCTGGTCCGAACAACCCGAAACCCGATCCGCCCGCAACCCGCCCGACCCAAAACCGATGAACCCGCAACCCGATTTGCCCGCAACCCGATTGAACCCGAACTCGATGAACCCGCAACCCGACTAACCCGCAACCCGTTTGAACCCGAACCCGATAAACCCGCAACCCGACTAGCCCGCAACCCGTTTGAACCCGAACCCGATTGAACCCAGCCCGAACCCGCCCGACTGACACCTATAACAGAAACTCCACATGAAAAATTGACAAACAAAGAAACAGTCAGTATAGCACCTCGCGAACCCAAAACAGGACCTAGAAATCAAATTCTTCTTAAAAACTTGATAATCCTCTCAAATTAGGGAGCATGAAGCAAAAAAGGGAGCAAGAGTTTTCTATTTTGATTGCAAGACACTCACCATCGAAGAAATTCGATTAGCAGGTCACCGCTTCTTGCCCATCCAATTGCAGTTACTGGCCACGCAGAGATACAGGGAGAAAAAGGGGGAAATAAACTAGAGTACGATCAATTGGAAAAATTGCCACTACGAAAAACCGAAAGCCAACCCTAAAATACCTGCAACGGAGAGATGGATTCTCCATACAATCACAGAAACATCCCATTGCGATCCTCATCACCGCTAAACAACAGTTCCAGCCACCCACCAATCGATCATGAACAGTTTCAGCTACCAAACTCCACACCGCTAGCTCCTTCAAACACCAAAACACTAAATGAGGGGGGAAAACGAACTCATCCTAAATCTACAACCTGAGCAACAGATATTTGGGGGGTTAATTGCATGGTTGGTCACTGAGATTATCAAAAACGTTCAAGTTTGGTCACTCGAAATATTTAAATCCATTGGTGATACTTCAGTTTACCGAAACCGTTCACGTTTGGTCACTCTCCGTCCAACTCCGTTAACTTTGGCTGATGTGGCAGTCAACTCTTAAAGTTGACCGTTAACTTAGTGACGTGGCAATTAAAAAATAATAAATAAAATAAATTTAATTTGTTTTAATACCCAACTCATTTTTACCATAATAAAATAAATAAAAAAGAAATAAAAATTATAATTATTAATTATTATGAAATTAAAAGTGGAAACCGACACCACATCCCTTCCCCGCAATCACTTCTTCTCCGCTCGGGGTTGCCGCCGACCGTCAGAGTACTCAATCATCTTCCCTCTCCGGCTCCTTCCCGTCGTGAGTTGCAAGTACTCTTGTATGCTCCTTCCCGGCTCCTTCCCGTCGTGAGTTGCAAGGGCTGCCTCCCTCCAACCGCCGAATCTTCTCCTACTAGTACTACTTCTTCTCCAATTTCCAGGTCGGCTCTCTCTCTCTGTTCCTGTTTTATATACATGACTCGTGTTGCGATGATTCCTACTATGAAATCAGGTTGCCATTGGTGTAACTAGTGATCGATCGTTTGAATGATGTTTTTGCTTTTATTATTCTTATGGCTATGGCTGATCTTCCAAGAAGAGGAAGACTGATCTTGCTTCTAGTTTTAACTAATCAAGAAACCACCCACGATTTTGCTTAGCCATTGCTGAATTGGGTTCGCTTCCATTCCATCTCTAACTCGACCTACCTTGAGCTGATCAACTCTTGTATGCTGCTTGTTTTTCCTATGAAGAGAATGTTTGAGCTTTTAAGTACCCCGTCATAGAAAATTGCAGCTCAGAATGGTTCTTACGAGGAACAATCTATTGATAATTTGTTATTATTGGTCATCAACTTTCTTGAAACCCTGTTTCCCTCGTTGCCAAATCACAGGTTCACGACGAGAAGAAAAGGAAGGAAAAAAATTGAATTGACAGTAGCACCACCAACTCATATGAAGCATGAAGAAAATTTCCCATCTCTTCGCCTTCACAGCTCTCCTCTTCCTATGTCTTCTACCTCCCCTCCCCCGCACAACCGCTGGTGACCTTCGATCAGACAGAAAGGCACTTCTCAACTTCGGCACATCAGTTCCACACACCCGCAGGCTGAACTGGACGTCCAATGGCAGCCCTTGCAACTCGGGGCGGAGGACGAATTGGGGCTTTTCGTACAGAGAGAGAAGAGCGGGAGACGGTCTTCGTCGAGATTCAGCATCGGTGGGAGTTTTTGGAAGGCGGGGAGTAAAAGCGGCCGGAGAGAAGACCAAACTCCAATTCTGGAGGAACCAGGGGACGATGAAGAAAACAGGGGAAGGGGGAAAATTGGGTACCATAAGTTCAATCACAAGATTGTAGTCTCCGATTTGGCATTCAAGAATCGATGGAGCAGTGCCAGCTCTTCGGATTTGGTGTTTCTGAGGTCCGAGATGCTTAACGACGCTGCCGGCGAGAGATTCTTCTCTCTGGATCAACAACTCTACAGCCAATCTGGCGGCGGACAGCACAAATTGGCCGGCGCCCCGCCGGCGGCATCGAGTAACGACAATAACTACTTGTCGGCGAGGGAAGATGATCGAGTACTCTGATGGTCGGCAGCAACCTCGAGCGGAGAAGAAGTGATTGCGGGGAAGGGATGTGGTGTCGGTTGCCACTTTTAATTTGATAATAATTAGTAATTATAATTTTTATTTCTTTTTATTTATTTTATTATGGTAAAAATGAGTTGGATATTAAAATAAATTAAATTAAATTTATTTATTATTTTTTAATTGCCACGTCACTAAGTTAACGGTCAACTTTAAGAGTTGACTGCCACATCAGCCAAAGTTAACGGAGTTGGACGGAGAGTGACCAAACGTGAACGGTTTCAGTAAACTGAAGTACCACCAATGGATTTAAATATTTCGAGTGACCAAACTTGAACGTTTTTTGTAATCTCAGTGACCAACCATGCAATTAACCCGATATTTGGGTCACCACAGACAACAACAAAAATAAAGGAATGAAAGCGAAACAGAAGTTAAGAGACAGAAAGCTCACCGATCGATACCATTATTTCGTCGACCTCTCACCGATTCCCTCTGTGGTAGGGGTGGGCATTCGGTCGGTTCGGTTTCGACCGAACCGAAATGTTATATACCGGGTCCCCGATTTATGGCAAACTTCAAACCGATTCCGAACCGAAATATATTTCGGTTCGGTCGGTTCGAACCGAAATATATATCGGTTCGGTCCGGTTTCAGCCCCAAAACCAAACAACTTTCCCTTCCTCTTTGTAACTTTTGGACTTGTTCCCATTCCAAACTATTATTGCCCCCTCTCTCTCATCCCGTTCAATTTTCCTTCTCCATCTCTCATCTCCTTTCTTCCACTTTACCTGCACACACAAAGCACTAAAATCTTCTACAAAAGAAAAACAAAATGAACATGTGAGGGAGCTCAGGGAAAGAAGGATGCAGTTGCAGGCATGATGGCGGGGATTAGTGACGATGAAGAGAAGACAGGGGACTGTGGAGGACGCCGCCGCTCCTCAAGGCCGAGCCCGCCGCCGCTCCTCAAGGCCAAGCCCGCCGCCACTGTTGGTGCCGCTCCTCAAGGCAAACCCGCCACCGCCGGATCTACTCTTCTTCGCCTTCTCCCTTTCTTTCTCCTTCAGATCTGAAAGAAGTATTGGGCGTACTGCTTCAGACCCTCTTCTCCCGCTGGCGACGACATCGAAGGCGAGAGATGGTGGTTGGCAGCTTTGCCTGCATGTCGGCAGCGCCATTGAAGAGGAGGAATCTGCCGCCGCCGATCCCTCCGAGGATCTGTATTCGCCTCATCGAAGGAGCTCAGGGTAGGTTGAGGTTTGAGGAAGAGGTTGAGGCCTGAGGGTTGGTGGCGGCGGCTGTCGTATAAGGTTGTGGTTGACTAGGCTTAGGGTTGTGTCGAGTTGGGTGGGCTCAGCTGAGGGACTGACTGTGTAAGTTGTGTTGTGAGTATGTGGGCCGTGAGAAACTGGGCTGGGAGGGTGGGCTTGGCTTTATTCGGTTTTTCGGTCGGTTAATCGGAATTCGGGTTCGGTAGAGCATACCCTGGGTTCCGAAATATAGAATTTTGGTTTCCGAATTCCGAACCGAATTTATAGTGTTCGGTTTCGGTTCGGTTGTACTCGGTTTCGGTCCGGTTCGGTTCGGGTTTACCGAACCGGATGCCCACCCCTACTCTGTGGATGTAAAATGAATAAAAATACATATGGTAGTGAGCCGGAGAGGAATCTGTCCGAGTGAAATGGCCAGGGCGATTAAGAACGACTTACTAAAGGTAGATGAATGTAGTCGCAAAAGCAGATGCAGGGTACTGGCGTACTTAGACCTCGATCAGAGACTTGATGCTCTCGATCTATGTTGTGGTTCGACACATGATGCACCAGTGCACATATCTGAGAAAAGGAGGAAAAAGGGTAAGAAACTTGCAGCAAAACCGAAAAGAAATAATCAAGATGACTTATAGCAAAAGAGATAATGAAAGACAATAAGATGAAGGCAAACCCGGAATTGAGAGATCAGTACCATAGACAAAGAGGAAAAATACCTAAAACTGCAACGGAGGAACTCTGCAGCTCAAATCTCATCTCTATCAACAGAGAGATTCTCGCAACAACCATAGCTGCCGGAGGCAATCGAAGGTTCTGAGGTGCATGGTCGAAATGGCGGAGCTGCGAGAGGAGAGTGACGATGTGGCGGAGCTTCTGATGTTGCCGCAGGCAACCATCCCTCTTCAACGTCGATCCCATTCCAATAACCTTCTTCCCATCGCATGTCCTTCCACATAGACCTCTGCTGCTTCAATTTGACGGCAGCCGATTGAACCCACCACAAAAGAAAATAAATTTCCATGAGCGATTCTAGTGGGCATAAAAGACAGCGAGAGAGGCAATTATTTCGTTCACCTGGTTCATCAGTTTAGAAGGCCGCTAGAAAGAGGGAACATCAGTTTAGAAGAAAAAATGAGAGAGAGAGAGAGAGAGATTCAACTCCTCCTTACGGCCATCGCTTCACCGCCAAACCATCACTTCCTCCTCTCTCCTCCCCGGCAGGTTCTCGGCGATCCCCTTCTCCCCAATGAACTCGGTGCCGATATCTCCCTGAAAAGCGATTAAAAACATGTTGAGAAAGAAAGAGAGAACTCGGTGGCGATCTCATCTAGCAAGAAGGTAAAAAATCATGAAAAACAGAGGAAACAAACCTTGCGTATCTGTGGCACCTCCGATTCGATTACTCCCCCGGCCTCTCAAATGCGCCGGTTGATTACTTCAAGCACGTTGGTTTCCGAAAAGGAGATGAGAGAAGCCATAGCAGAGAGGAGCATGAAAAAGAGAGAAGAAAGAAAGAAAGAAAGAAATATAGAGAGTGAACGCAATCAATGAGAGAGAAGAAAGTGAAGACTTATCTTAGCTCTCCCCTGCCCTTCTGGCCTGGTAAGTACCCTTCTCTGCGTATCTCTCTTGATTCTTGAGTCTTGAGTCATCTAGCGGCCTGGCGGTCCTTTAATTGCGCCGGCGGAGCTGAGAAAGGAGAGAGAGATTCTTGTGATAATCGCAGCCGTCGGGGCTCGACGTTAGTTTTCCGGTGGCTGATTGCACCGGCAAGTTGAGAGCAGAGAGGGAGAGAGATCTCCAAGAGGCATTTTAGTATGCTATATAGTACCCATGCTTTAATATACTTAGGGCCATTAGATCTTGTTATAAAATATCAGCCATTGGATTGAAATTATTTAATTATTATTATTTTCACTTGTGGACTGGTAACCTGTTGCACCGGTTCATTACACAATCATTTTAAAAAAAATTGAAATCCAGGCGATCGAGCTCTGCATCAAAACAGAAACCCTTCACTGCATCAAAAAAAAAAAGGCGATCGAGCTCGTCGAAATTCAGAGCTTCTCTTCCGAGGTGGAATTTCAGAGCGTCTCTTCCGCGGCGACGGCGAACCTGCATTTGAAATAGTGCGACGGCGACGGCGAACCTGCATCTAGGGCGACAGCGACGTTGTGAGAAGAAAGAAATTGGGGGGAACCCTTTCGCGATTGTGAACTGTGCTCTTCCGCGGTGGGTCTCTTCGTCGATATTGAAGGGCTTGAGCATCGGCGACGGAAACGGTGAGATTGTGCGGTGGGTCTGATTGTTTTTCAACTTTCCTCTCCTGGGATTGTGTTTTGCGGTGGGTCTGATCGTTTTTCAACTTTCCTCTCCTGGGATTGTGTTTCGCGGTGGGTCTGTTCGTAGATAGTAAAGGGGGTGAGCAGTGGCGACGACAAAGAGGACTTGAATTCTGAAGGTGGCAGAGACTCTTTTACTGGAGGAAGACTCAGAAGGAATCAAAGACTCGAAAAGCCCAATCGACAACGACGAGTCAACTAGCGCCGGGTAGGAGAACTCCTGCAATAGCGAGAATTGGGTGATAAAGCATTCGATTTCCGATTTGAAACGACGACTCAGTCATTCATTCGATGTAAGTGGCTGAAATTCTTATCTCCCTTTGATAAACATTCAATTTCTAGCTTCTAGCTTCTAGAGCATTTGTTGGAGCAGCTTCGAGTACAATAATGGTGTCTTTGAATGTCTGACTTATTTCTCTGGAAATGTCAAGTTGTCTACTAAGGATCGGTTGCCAAATCATAGGATTGAAATTCCATGCTCGTTTTACCAAATTGAACTATGGAAGTAGAAGAGAGAATTTCTCAATTCTGTGTAACCATTTGGGATTGAAATTGAAGCTTCTCCACTGCTTTCTTCATGTGCATTCTCAATTGGATATGGTGATATAAGATGCAATATTCCTTTCCCTCTCTCGGTTTTATCAGTTGTGTGAAGTGGGAATTCTGATGTGCTCCATCTTTTCCAGTGTCTTCTTCTGTGATTTGGTTTGTCTATCTCTTTAGCTTTAACGTCTTGTGCAATGAGTATTGAAGCTCTCTCAAGTGTAGTTCTTGGTTGTGCTGTATTTTGTCACGGCCGAGTTTGATTGAGATGGGGGCATCTTTAGTCATTCCGTGATTGATGAAGCTTCAGAAAGTCTGCACTTTTTTGTGCAAATAGTTGTGGCCATCCACCATATAACTTCATTCCTCACACAGATCGTTGATGTGACCTAGGAGGTATTTGTGAATGGAGGATTCAGTGTCAACTAGGAAGCTGTCTTGGTTTATATAATCCCATAAACTGTGCTGGGGTTGTTCATTTCGTTGTTGCCTTTGCTTTCAAACTGAAGAGAATAACTGTGCTGGGGTTGTTCTGCTTGCTTCTTTAGTTCTTTGGTCTTGATTGGGATTTATGGATGTAAGGAATGGGTTTTTGATTGGAGAGACTTGATTTGTGTTTTATGGAGGCAAATCGAATAGGAAAGTTCATACTCAGTTTGATTATTTTCAGTTTGTAGTGTCGTTACCGTTGCTTGTTGATTACATTTTGGACTGTTAATTGAAGGGTCTTGCTTGGCTGCATGAAAGGTGCAATTGAGTGTGTTAGTCAAGAACTATTTCATGAAATCAGGGTGACTTCAGTTTTAGCCAGTTTGGATGGAAATAGAGCGAGTGTTTATGGTGGTGTCATGGGTTATGGAAAGCTTAGTGGCTATGCTCGTGGTCATGTTATTTAGCTCTCAAAAGTTGTAAGTTGTGTGTGGTTTCTGGAAATATCACGGCTGTGAGAGAGACCGTGGATGTAATTCTGGAAATATCACGGCTGTGAGATAGGCCGTGAGAGAGACCGTGTATGTAAAAACACACTTCTCAGTTTCCCAGAGGTTTTCACGGGTTGCCTTCGACAGTGTCACGGCCGTGAGATGAGCCGTGTTTTTGGATATGGATGATGGGCATCTCACGGCCCCTTTGTAAATTCTCACGGGCCCCTTTGTAAATTATCACGGGCCCCTTTGTAAATTATCACGGGCCCCTTTGTAAATTCTCACGGGCCCCTTTGTAAATTCTCACGGCCCCTTTGTAAATTATCACGGGCCCCTTTGTAAATTATCACGGGCCCCTTTGTAAATTCTCACGGCCCCTTTGTAAATTCTCACGGCCGTGAGAATAAGCCGTGTGATTGTCTGGAGATATGCAAACTTCTCTTTGCTTCTCACGGGTCATGTCACGGCCGTGAGATTTTGCATTTTGGGTGAAATTTAATGAAAGCTGGGTGTTTTCATGGTTAATTAGTGTACTCAGGTGTTGATGTAGGGGGTTTTCAGTTCTTCTGGTAGTTAGAACTTGTATTTTGTTTGTACTCTTCGGCATGCTTATAATTCGTGTTTCAAGGCATGCTTATAATTTTTCTGTTGTTTTAATTTTGCAGTTTGCTAAAATTGTTCTATAATGAAGACGAAGAGGCATCAAATTTTCAGCACGCGATGTTCTCCTAGGAAAGTATTCTCAGTAGTCTCAAATTTAGAGGCTTGTCAATCAGAGGCCATTAGGAGATGTGGCTTTGGTCGTATTCTTGATGTCAAAGCAAGAAAGCTGCAACGTGAGTTGTTGGAGAAACTTGTGAAGAGCTTTAATCTGGAAGAAAGCACAATTAAGGCGTATGGGTTGGAAGTGCATATTTCGGCCAAAGATTTCGAGCGAATTATGGGTGTGCCTGAGGGAGGTACTGATATCATCTTGAATGGTGAAGAAGTGGAGGGAAGATCAGAGGAACTGGAACCATTTAGAGTGTTTTCGACACGTGAATGTGGCCGACAGGCGATTTCCACAAGCTTAATGAAGAAGGAGTTGTCGAAGATGAAAGATAGCGACGATCTATTTCTTCAAATGTTTATTTTGTACGTAATGGGGGTGCTATTAGTACCAACTAGAAGAGAGGACATTTCCTTGTCTTCGGTATACGCTGTCACCGATGTTGCAGACATTCCGAAGAAGAATTGGGCATCCTTTTGCTTCAATGAATTGGTCAAATGCATCTGCGACCATAATGCTTCTAAAAGAGAGTATATACCGGGTTGCTTGCTGTTTTTGGAGGTAAATAATTGTTAATCCCGACTTTCTACATATTTGTAATGATTAATCATCATGTTGATTATAGTATTTTTTTTTTTTGTAGTTAATATTCTTGGAGCATGCAAATGGTATTTTCCAAACCGTTGATGGGAGTTTGGATTTGATGAGTTGGGGGAGTGGAGACGTGGAGTTATTGTTAACAAAAGTGGTAAGATTGATAGTATATTTGATTCTTTTGACAAGTTGGAGCATGCTAATGGTACATTTGGTTCCCTTTTTAATTAATTTATAGGTTTCCAGCAGTTCGGGGAAAAGATCAGCTGAGGATGCCGGTTTGAAATCACCTCCAAGGAAACGGGGAGAAGTAGATGGGAAACGGCACAAACCCGACGGGGATGAGCTACTTCTCTATGAGCGTATTGA